ACAAATTGTGAGGGGATTTTTTTGGGCTGAAATGTGAAACATATCTAGTTGTGTGGCTTTTGAAGACTTGAAAAGTGCAAAAAGAAATTTGACACTTCATTTGGATTGAAAGAAATAAAAGTAAAAGAAAGGGAAGGAGGAGGGGAAGATGACAATCAGGAAAATATATCTTTGACACTGAGGGAGGTGAGAAGGAGCATTAGATGTTTTAAACACAAGTGATTTGCTACTTCAGCGTTATATGGCAATAAATGGTGCTTGGGCATCCATTTTCAATCATTTATACTATTTTTTTATGAGATACATTCCTATCAGCACCTTTCCACTTTATGTTTTCTTTTAAGTTTGTTGATGTTATACATCAGTCTGCTGAAAGAGACACATACTCAATGGATAGAATCTTCTCAATAGTTCTATTTTATTTCAGAGAAAGCAGGTTCTTGGCCATGTACCTCTTTTACTGCTATTGTTAGATCAAACTATTAGTATGTGAAAGGCCCCATTTTTGGAACATCAAGTTTCTCGAGGCATAATATAATGATTGGGAGAACATAGTTAATATCTTCTCAGTGATGTACAATTTCATGGATTCTATCTCAGCCTGTTGTAGTAATGTTTCCTTTCAATATTTTGACTTTCGTTTAATCCGGGTACACTTCCAGGCATTGAGGCCTTTCATCACTTATTACACATTTGGGTTGGAGGCATTGCAGACTGTGGACCAGGTATTTTTCTTCTGCCTGCTACTCTAAGAAATCTCCAAAGAATATTATGCATCATTCCTGGAAATAAATGTTTGGAAGATAATTTGCAACTGTTGTTTACGTTTTAAATAACCAAATCAATGTTGATACTCCATGAACTGTGTACTAATGTTCTGCTGGAACATCAGTTGCTTTTGGATGTATAGCCAATAGTAAATGAAAAATGTGGTGTTCCCCCTCAGTGGAACATAATTTGAATTTTCTCATTAAATCTTTCAAGGTTAACTTGTCTAGAAATTGGAAACTTCACCATTTATTTGCTCAACTTACTGCATACTTCTTTATAAAATAAAATCCCCCTCTCAAGAAAAAGGGAAAAAAATTTATACCAACTGTTTGTCTCCTACTCTTTCACATATTATTCTTTTCCTTTTTGTGATTTTTTAGGTATTCAGTGTTTGCTACCGTTATCTACTTGGGGGGGGGGGGGGGTTGGGGGTTGTTGTTGTGTTTGGAATTTGCTGCCAATTTCACTTAATTTTTATACGCAATTATGAATATTGATGCTTGTTTATAGTAGAAAAGTAGGAATACTTATAGGGTAATTTTCTCAAGCAGGCACTCTTGAGAGTTGAGACGACCAAACGTAAGTGGCGGGGCTGGCTCAACCATCAGGCCATTTGGGCAATTGCCTAGGGTCCCACATGGAAATTGCCTAATCCGATTTCATATTGATATTAATTCCGGTTTTCTTTATTACCTAATATTCTTCAATTCCTTGATATAGACCCATAAAAATTTTGAATTTAAAAAATACATTTAATATTAATATATTAAATTTAATTGAATAGACAAGTTTCTTTTCATCTTCTTTCTGAGGCATTTCCTTAATATTGAGTACTTCTCACTTGTTGATACCTTTTTTTTTTTGTTATTCTTCTGGACATCTTCTCACTCACTGTTTGTATAATTGTTTTTGAAATGTTATTTATCTCGTTCCTCAAATCATAATTGACCAATGACAGTGCCATAACTTCATCCCTCGCAGCAACATTCTTTTTGAACAGAAAACTTTGACACATGGTTTAAACCGTTTAGAAGTTCAACATTCGCTGCTTGCAACAAGTTTTCAATATTCAGATTCATTCCACTGAAAATTTGATTAGACCTTGGAAATTTTGCTCAAAATATAGTCGAGACCTTAAAAGTTTTAATATTCAGTTTTTGGGCTACTGTTCGGGTTCTGGTTAACTATCTAGCATGTGCTATACAGTTCTTGCTATGAGTTTGTGCATTTTTGGTTAATAATCGGATTGATCCCTGATTAGTATCTCATTTAAATCATTCTACTAGTACATGACCTGTCTTGTGCATTTTCAAGTTCCTTGTTGATACTGCCCCTATCCTCAGGACTTTTAACATGGTTGTGTAATCTTTCATATATTAATGCTGTTTTATCATCAGTAGCACTAACCCTGTTTATGGGTATTGCGGGCAGGCGAGTCGATGGATTCTGTCACATAAATGGACCGTTGGAGACCTTTGGAACATGTTGGTGGAGTACTCTTCCCAGAGATTGACAGGAGAAACTAATCTTGGCTTCTTTAATTGGCTACTTCCATCGCCGCCCACCTCTGATGCCATGATACCGGACACACCTTTAACCCCTTGAAATCTTTTGTATTATTGAGTTGCTTCCCTTCCCTTCTTCTTCTTCTTTTTTTTTTTTTTTATTTTTATTTTTATTTTTATTTTTTTTACTTCTTGCATGTAATTGTACATATCGAGTAAAAGAAAATGTAATACTTTGTTATAATTATAATTTAGTTTCGAAGATTTGTCTCGAATTCGTGTTTTTCTAATAGCTAAATTACAGGGATTTCAAAATGACTGAAACCATTTTGCAGTCTTGTACACTAATTTGGGATAATGTATTCTGCCAGAAAAGGCTTTATAAGTAGATGGAGTGAAAACTTTCAAATATGTGATTATGAAGTCCATTTTGACTTCAAAAAGAACATGTCATGTAATGTTGATTGGGGCCAGAAAAGGAATTTTGTTTGGACTAATAATATATTGGGACTGATTATCTAATGTTTTTAACCATGAAAACACAAACCAAATTTTTATGAGGGTGGAGAAGTTCCAAGATTGTATTCTTAAAAAGTTTTCCGGAAAGGGAAGGCGAGGAGGGAATCGAAAGAGAGTATTTTTGTTCCCTCGTGGTGGGGAAAGGAAAAGGGAATGGATTTTTTGGAGCTGTTTTATATTATTACCAAAGGTGTTAAAAAATATATGTAGATTGAATCTATACGTCAGAACCAATGAATTACTACCATGCTGGTTTGGTTTAAGTGGTATCACTTGTTCTTTTAAATGGAGCGGTGAGGATTTTCCCAATGCAAAATTAGACAAGTGAACTTTCAATTAACAGATTAAAATTTTAAAATGGATAAAAGACATGTCATTTTTTTTTTTTTTTTTTTTCACTATATTAATTTGTGGTCTCTATCTTCTAAAATAGGAGGTGAGAGTTCGAGTTCCATAAAAATAAATTAGTATGCTAGTTTTTTTGTCCATGAAATACTTTTTTTTTAAAAATGTATTTTCAATTTCAAAGGAATAACTTAATGACAGCATATCTGGAAGGTTGAGAATTCGAATTTTCTCAGAGTTACTCCTATAAATTTTTTTAGTAATTGCGTAGAGCATGTAGAATGAGATGGTTGTAATTGGTGCAATGGAATTATGAAGTGTTATAAGAGGTCCGAAATGAACATAGATAATAATAAAAAAATAAACCTTTAGTCTCTATGTATTGGTAATAATAAATAAATAAACCTTTAGCCTTGTGTATTATTCATATTTTCATGCAAATAATTATTTATTAATATTGTTATAATTATCACTAATTTACTATTACTATATATACAAATTCAATATACCTTAGTATCCTGGACCTTTAAGTTCTTTTTTTTTTTTTTTTCATTTATCTTTATTTTGATTCGGTGGGACCCACCCAACGCTGGTTTCATTTCTTTCCTTTAACGAACCAACATCAGTCTGCAGGGATAGTGGAGAGTGCAAAGGTGCAGAGATTGTAACATATAGAGAGCCTATAGAATCAAATAGTATAGTCTAGAGAGAGAAAGCAGATTGTGTCTCTATAGAGAGAGGGAATCGTCTATATAGAGGAGAGAGAGGGAGCAGAGTCGAGCTGTTCCAACAAAAAAGGCAGCGGTGTTGAGAAAATAGCTAGAGAGAGGTAGAGAGAGACAGAGAGGAGAGCAGAGTGAAACTCAAAAGAAGAAATATGGCACTGATATTGAGGTTCAAGTTGGCTACGATAGGTGCGAGAGGGATGAAAATAGTCGGTGGGGCTATGCAGTCAACCTTCAGGTGGTGTTTCTTTTCGTTTCCTATTTAGATGATAGAACTGCGATTTTCCTTTTGTGTTTTTTTTTTTTTTACTCAGATTGTTGTAGTAGTTCTTTGAATGATTTTGAGTCCATACTCATCTGCATTTCTTACTTTTGTCACTTTTATTGTAATGAAACTCATCCAAACCGGCCGGACTCTACTTGGTGTTGAACTGTAGAGTCCATGTGTATGACGATGATCGAGCGTGTTGCATCTGTTCTTTGTGCCGCCTCTGATCTCTAGATCTGCACTCGCCATTCTATCTTTTTCCTTGAAATCGATCTCACAATATATATATATATATATATATATTATATAGATATATATATACACACACAAATATCTCTGTCTATGTGAAAACTGGTGAAGGTGAAGTTTAGGAAGGTCGGTGAAGCGATGGAGTCTTGTTACTGCCGTCATCTGGTTTGGGGTTACAGGCGCATATGAAAAAAAAGAAATCACAGACTATATATATAGTTGTATACATACGCATATTTGTATTTCTATATGTGAAAAATGGTGAAACAAAAGAAATCAGAGACTATATATATATATATATATATATGTATGTATGTATGTATGTATAGTTATATACACACACATATTTGTATATCTATGTGAAAAATGGTGAAATGAAAGAAATCACAGACTATATATGTATGTTTGTATAGTATACACACATATTATCTCTGTTGTTGGTTTTGTTTTTTTTTTTTGAAAGATAAAGTTAAATTTGGATTGAATAAAAGGGGTACAAGGCTAGCCATAGCTAACCGATGGGCCAGGCCCAGAATACAAACCAATAGGAAACAAAGCCCAAATAGGCACAAAATAACCATAGCAATAACGGATCAATTGCTGAGGTCTGGTGATTTTCTTTGTGGTCGAATAATGGATTCTGGAACATCCCATTCTGCTGCAATCCTTGAAGCATTAGATGCATAGCTGATAGATGAGAGTATGATGTTTGATCTAATAGATTCCAGAGTTTGGTGAAGAAGTGAGTTTGCAGAGATGGATTTCTTTTGAAAAACCCTTCTGTTTCTCTCGTTCCATGTGTGCTGCAAAGTAGGGAGTCTTTGTTGGATTGCCACCCACAGTATGAAAGAGTGTTTGGGGATAGAGGGTTTGGTTCACACTAGGTGAGTCCAAGGTAGGGTTGGGTGATGCTTGTTGAAATGTTTCATGGTGTGTGGAATAGAAAATTGACCATTGGGTGAGGGTATCCAAATGTGTTTGTCACTGCAGCTGGTTTGTGGGTTTGGAAGGTTGGTTATATGCTGTAGTTGTGGAATGATGGATGGTATGGAAGGGGGAAAGGACCATGAGTTATTGGTAATGAAGGATCCTACCTTTGTGTTGCTGTGATAGCCTGAAAGTGAGATCAGTTGTGGAGATGTCAATTGGTGCAGAGGACCAAGATGGCACCAATTGTCAAGCCAAAAATTAGAGCTTGAACCATCTCCAATTTTTACCCTGACAAGTGGTTTAATTGTATCTCTGAGGCTGAGCAATTTCCTCCAGTTCCATGAGCATTGGCCTGGGACCTTGACCTCCCAAATACTTAGATAGGTGTTGATCCATTTTACCCACAACATGTCCTTATTTAGAAAATGCATGTATTATCGCGTAACGAAAATAAAAATGGACTTGAACCTAGGAAGATGAAGTCTGTTTGGCTGAAAACAGGGGTTTTTTAGTTGCAACGCATTACACCTCGAGGCCTTTATACCCTCATTTGCAACCAGCCACCAACAGTTTCATCTTGTACCAAACAAATTCAGACCTGCCCTCTAATCAGTGATCAATTTGTCTTTTAATCTTAATTGTCAAGGTTATTTTTTTTCTCTCATTATATTGTTTACTTGATCAGATTCGAGGCCAGGGAACTTGCAGGTACCACTCCCAAAATCTGCAAGACACCTGAGAAGGTAAATTCATTTTTTGTTATTTATTTAGTCCATAGCATAACATTTATGTGGGTTCTGAATTTGTTTACGTACAAACTTTTATTTCGTGTGATTTGGAGTTTGTATTATATAATGGCTTTAGGAATTTTTATGAACATATTAGCTTGATATGTATCTATCTTTGCCTTGTTGTAAATATATTTGGTCATGGAATGTTTGTTTAAAAGTGTTCCTTTTGGGTATACAAACACTGCACCTCCTTTGTGTATTCAGAAGGCTCCAGCCTCTGTTGTTAGGTATTTTGAAAATTATTTTTTGGCCAATTTAGATGACCATAAGATCACTTGTGTTATTTTTGCTTGATGTTACTTATGAAATTTTTGTTGCTTTATGGTAGTTTTGAGTTGGATTTTTAGCAATGAATTTCCAGATTTTTCTGAGCGTGCAGGATATACATAGATATATATGTATGTTAAAGACTGGGATGGTCGACTAAGGCAGATCATATTTTCACTCCATTCTCTTGGTCAGATTCTATTTTCAACTTAAATTGTATCTGGTTTCCTCATTTTCTCTCGAAACTTCATTCTACAAATTGCATGTGTTGTATGCTTGGATTATCGTAGTGGGTAGCTTGTGTCATGCCTTAACTACTTGAGTACCCAAGGCATTGTTCTTGACTCTTTTTTAGGGCTAGCCATGGTGGCATAATTGGCTACCTATATAGGTCATATTTTGTTAAGTCTTCACATAATATGGAGATGACTTCCGTTGAGGAGAGGGGAAACCTGCTTGGGCAATCGCCTGGTTTTGATTTTTTCTTGCAATTCTCGTTTGTTTAGTAGGTGAATGGGGTGAATTTTGTTCTTTGTATTCAATGATAGAATTTCCTTGTAACACCCTCATCTTCAAAGGCAGTTTTGACTTCTTATTTGTGCTGCTGGGACACCTGCTTGCACTTGCTGTTAGCCTCCTTTCAGCTAGCTTACTTGCTACAAATTGCGTGTGTTGTTTGCTTGGATTATCGTAGTGGGTAGCTTGTGTCATGCCTTAACTACTTGAGTACCAAAGGGGTTGTTCTTGACTCTTTTTTAGGGCTAGCCATGGTTGCATAATTGGCTACCTATATAGGTCATATTTTGTTAAGTCTTCACATAATTTGGAGATGACTTCCGTTGAGGAGAGGGCAAACCTGCTTAGATAGGGCGATTGCCTGGTTTTGAATTTTTCTTGCAATTCTCGCTTGTTTAGTAGGTGAATGGGGTGAATTTGGTTCTTTGTATTCAATAATAGAGTTTCCTTGTAACAACCTCATCTTCAAAGGCAGCATCACTCAACCGCCTTGCGCTAATCTTTTCAATAAATATAAGCGAAAGATTTTTTTGAAGAAGCTTACTTCTTGTAGCCATGGGGCGTTTTCCGCCCCCCCTACTTTTTCTTCCATGAATAGGATAATTTGGTCTATAACAGAGATGTTGGGATTGTTCTCCATTGTCAAATAAGAATGACCGTTTTGAGTTGAAAGGGTTTCAGGTTCTGCACTACGAAGATGGGATGCTAATGGGTTATAAGTGGTAGATATTAAAGGTTCAATCTCTAAAGGATTATTAGTAAGGCCCAAAAGTGATCAGCAGGTCTGAAATGGTTGATGTTGTTGAACAGGTTATAAAACTTGGTAGTAATATAAGATCCATGGCTAACTGGATTGAGCAATAAATATTAGTATTTCAGTTGTTGGATCTTTTGAAAATTATTTTTTGGCTAACTTAGATGACCATAGGATCATGTCTGTCCTGTTATTTTTGCTTGATGCTACTTATGAAATTTTGGTTGCTTTATGGTAGTTATGAGTTGGATTTTTAGCAATGAATCTCCAGATTTTTCTTAGTGTGCAGGATATATGTGTGTGTGTGTTAGAGGCTGGGATAGTCGACTAAGACAGATCAAAATTTCACTCCATTCTCTTGGTCAGATTCTATTTTCAACTTAAATTGTATCTGCTTTCCTCATTTTCCCTCAAAACTTCATTAAATTACACCCTGTAGTTTTGGGATGTGACAGTTTTCCCTTTCTGAAAACTTTAGAATAAGCTATTTCTGAAATAATATACTCTATTATACGCTAACTTTCCTTCCCTACTCGAGTTCAGTCTTACTTCAGTTCCAGTGAAGAAAGAATCTTAGCTGGTGGGTGACCAGCCACGCTGGACCTACAGGTCCGTGCTTGCGGGCACATTGGGCCCACAGTTCCTCGATCTACGATCTCACTGGAAATCAGAAAGAAAGAACTCAGATGTGAGTTGGCTTCCTACATTGATGGTAGGGAAAGGATTTTGGGCTATCGGTTACCGACTTGAGAGCGGGCCTTGGCCCTTAATGCCCCGAGCACCACTGGTCCCACTTCTTGACTTTAGTAACGATGGGTTGGTTCACCGCTTCCTTCCATTTTATCCCCTGGGATTTCATACATTTGAACATTCCCTTGCGCGGGGTCATAGGCACTCTGAAGACTAGAGTTAGGGGTCATAGGATAGGAGCTTGTCCTCCCTACCGAACCCAGCAAACAGAGGTGTCAAAAGTGCTACATCTTGTGGTGCGCATCCTAGCACTGTAGTATTCTACGCAGGCTCTGTTGCTTAGTAGGCCGATAGAGATGGCCAGGTGGCACCAAATGCCTACCAACAAAAACATATGCACATTGTTGGCTGGTTCCTCCATTCAAGTGGCTCACCGAGTGAGGGTGGCTAATCTGGTCCATGTCTATTCCTTATCGTCGTTGACAGATCCCTTCGAAACCAGCAACCACTAATGACCTTTATCTGCTGCCCTTCTCATCGCAGACGTGGGGGGTGGGGTAAGCAAGGAACCTTTCAATCCAAAACTGATTGAAGCAACACAACCACTACTATACTCAACTGATTTTTTGTGGTAGAAGAAGACTCCAACATGTTACCACCTCTGGTATGTTGTTCCATCATGAGGAGTATGGAAATCTGTCTTGACATGATGAATAGTGGTGCCCACCTGCAGAGCGTAGTGTCACGAAGTGATTCCTAAGACGCTTGGAGGATGGAAGACACCCATGCTGGTTGGCAAAGAGCAGAGTTTGACTGGGAATGGTTCCAGGGAAGGGGCGTGCAGGAGCACAGGATGGTACCTCTTCAGAGTTCAGGCAGGTCGACTCGGTTCAGTTCGAGGTGCTTGTCGCTGGTCGTGGACTTGACTATGAAGAAGGGAGTTGGCCATCCCTGCACAAACTGGTCGGGAGCTGGAGCCGTTCCCCTGACGAGGCCATGGCAGGCCGAAACCAGTCAGCATGTATCCTTGGGAGGGCAGGTCGTGGTGGCTGACCAGGGCGCTTGCGCGAGCTGAAGCAACGCCTTGGTGCCGCACGGGCCGTGCCGCTGCGCCAAATCTCTAGGCCCGTGACAAATGGTATCAGAGCAGGACTTGGGGTAAAGCACGGTAGGGTGCCCCCTTGTCGGTCCGGGAGGGGTCAGAGAATGAAGACGGTGCATTGAAGTTGCGTCGGTGTGGAGGAATCAATGCAGTTGGGGGGGAGAGCCTCCATCTCCCCAGGAAGAGGCGTCCGTTGAAGTTGCGCATTGAAGGGCCGGAGGGCCGCGCGCACCAAAGTTCGTGCTTAGTCCTTGGGTGATGCAAACCATGGTGAAGGGCGAGCATCAAGTCGGCAGAAGGCCATTGCTTGCTCGGGATGCCGCGGAGGCGGCATGACGGAGAAGAGTCACGTCCTTGAGGAGTGGACGTCCCCTTGGTCCGAGGCCTATCATTGGGCGAGTGCAGTGCAGGGAGCTGCACAAGGAAGCGATGGTGGGAAGGCGAGCATACCGCATGGAGGCAGACTTTGGAAGGGAGTGGACGCAGTAGTGAAGCGCCGCACTGCGACGAGGACGTCGCAGGATTTGGGTGGGGGAGAATGTCACGAAGTGATTCCTAAGACGCTTGGAGGATGGAAGACACCCATGCTGGTTGGCAAAGAGCAGAGTTTGACTAGGAATGGTTCCAGGGAAGGGGCGTGCAGGAGCACAGGATGGTACCTCTTCAGAGTTCAGGCAGGTCGACTCGGTTCAGTTCGAGGTGCTTGTCGCTGGTCGTGGACTTGACTATGAAGAAGGGAGTTGGCCATCCCTGCACAAACTGGTCGGGAGCTGGAGCCGTTCCCCTGACGAGGCCATGGCAGGCCGAAACCAGTCAGCATGTATCCTTGGGAGGGCAGGTCGTGGTGGTTGACCAGGGCGCTTGCGCGAGCTGAAGCAACGCCTTGGTGCCGCACGGGCCGTGCCGCTGCGCCAAATCTCTAGGCCCGTGACAGTAGTCCTCCCTGCAGCCTTGAAGTATACTATATCCGCAAAGGAAAAACTGTGGCCAGGAGCTATAATAACCGAGAGGTTGTCCCATAGGTGATGCCAACGGATTTACAAATGAGTGGCGGAACTGCAACTATACAGCTGAGTCCAAGACTTGACTCGACAACCGCAATCGCAGTTTGGGAATTGAAACAATGAGGCCAGCATAGATGCGATAACCGCACGGGGCCATCTATTGGTACCTTATTTTCAATCAAAACTATATAGTCCTTGTTTTAGCCCAACTTCAATCTTTTTCATAAGCTCGTTCGTTGAGACCTGTGGTGATGAATGGGGATAAGCTTTGTCATGCTTCTGTAGAGGAATGGTCCATACCCAGGTCATATTTCTACTAAAAAGCATTTGCATCAAGCGCCCAAATGCCTATATGATGAAAATGAATGAGAACCCTTGTTATCGTGCTACTCCGCTCGCATCTATTATTGTATAATACATTTTTGCTAAGATCAAATTATTTCAAGGAAAAGATCGATCTTCTAAGTTCTATCTCTTTTAACTAATTTCCTGCTAAGATAGAGTAAGTCAAAGAATGAAAGCCAAAAACTTGAAATAGAATGCATGGATCCTTTTGTGCTATACTTATAATTCTTTTTTTCTTCATTAAGATCCATCATTACACGCGCGCGCACACACACACACATATATATATGCTTACCTTATGTTAAAGGTCATAGATTTTCAACTCGCAACTGATTTAATTGTCATGTCATGTCTCAGGTGCCGCCTTCTGGGTGGAAGAAGTGGGTGCTTGTCCAGCATCCCAACATTGTGGTTGATGATGACGACTTGGGAGCTAAAGACAACGGAGAAGCAGAGGTAGTGCCTTACAAACCCACTATGAAGTAGAATTAAATATGGGTTTAGGAAATTTTAAATACGGGTACTTATTGAGTCAATCCTGATTATATATTTTCTGTGTGGAACTTCATAGGTTTTTATTTATTTATTTTATATACGTACATATATTAGTGGTTAACTCTATTAAACTGTTCCTATTACTATGGACCATAAGATATCACTAATTATGGCGTCTTATTAATCTGCTTATAGTGTGCTAACTAGAAGGAAATAAAAAACAGAAGCAAAAAGAGAAGGGATCCACAGGTCTGAAATGGTTGATGTTGTTGAGCAGGTTATAAAACTTGGTAGTAATATATGATCTATGGCTAACTGAATCAAACAATAAATATTAGTATTTCAGTTAATGCGTCTTTGGTATCTATGCTAAAAATTTAATAGTGATGCAAGCTATATGAATCATAGCAAAGGTGAAATTAAGGCATAGTAAGGGAAGAATCAGCGTGTTCAATGTTTCGAGAGACTCAAAGGGTAACCATGTTCAATTGGTAATCACTATGCAGCTGCTAGTATGCGGTCTCGAGTTTCTTTCTGCTTATTATCTGCAACTGCTTGGTATATATATGCATTTGTATCCATTTCTGTACGTGTTCATTTTATCTTGCAAGAAAACATACTTCTTCTTCTGCCATCTTTGTCTGTAATCTTTATTGCAGTTAATTTTATGAAATTAGTTTAAGCATTTTGTTGCTGTGATGGGGCCATTATTTATATGATGTGTCTTAGGTGCCTACAAAAGGCTATTTTGTTGTGCACCCATGCATATGTATATAATTGTTTGTTTAAATCTATAAGATATGTTATTTTATAAATATTGCTTCTAAAAACTGCGGCCATTTAGTTGGCTGACCAAATTGAACTTCTTTATTTCTTCTGATTTTTGTGCATTATTAGTTATGACAGATTTTGAGCAGCAGTACTGTTTTTATTTAAAAAAATCTCTGTAATTTGATTTGAAAGTCATTATAGTGGCTCTGGACCCCTGTACTCGTTTAGAATGACTTTTCTAAAAATAAATGGAATTGTTTTGAGGTTAGTCTTGTTATAGTACTACGTATTTTTGCAAGTCAAGATATATTCAAAGGATAACCAAGTCATTTTACATTGTATTATATAATGGCTTTAGGAATTTTTATGAACATATTAGCTTGATGTGTATTCTTTGCCTTGTAAATATGAAGACAGTCATGAAGCACAGTACAATGTGAAGTATTATAATTGTCTTTTAGTATATGAATGTTGCATCTCTTCTTATATGTAAAGATCTTCCGTGCCTCTGTACTTCTTCTTTTGCCCCCATTGTCTATAATAATTTTTTCTTTATGTCTTATGCTATGAGTGCAGTTGGCTGAGCAGATGGAAGCTGGAAACAGTGGAGAAGCTGCAGAGGTAGTGCCTTCCAATCCCACTAGTCCTGAGAACACCAGGACATTCATGAGGGTTGGCTTAGGTTCACTCATATACAATCCTAGAGTGAACCAACCTATTGTACTTGGTGTCAGAAACTTCTCCAAAAAGAAGAAAAATTCTGGGCAGGTATTAATTACTGATTCAAACAATCCACATTGGTAAAAAAAAATTCCATTTGTTTGTATGAACAGTTTCTTATGACATTGATTATTGTGGTCTGCTAGGGTTCAAAAACGCCTACTATTCCCAAAAATCCCTTCCCCGATAAACCTCTCTTCAAGTGTGAGCAGTGCTGGTTGTATCCCCGACCGGAAAAAGGAACGGAGGAGGACATTGAGAACGAAAAAAGAACGGATGAGGACTTTGAGAAGGAAAAAGGACCGGATGAGGACATTTATGAGGAAACAAGGGAAATCTTTTCCCATGCATGGCAGGTGGCGAACCATTGCAAAAACAAGCACAAAAGTAAGAAGACGTGCAATAAATGCGGTAATGGCTTCGAGACACAGGCTCATCTGAGAGACCATATGAAAGTCTGTCCTCATAAGTAAGTTAATTTAAAAAGTTATAATGTTTATCATTATATTACTACGTATTATCATTATTAATTTCTATTCTTTTGCAGAATCTGGGAAGATTGCAACAACGCTATGTGAGGTTTAAAGAACAAGATTTACCTACTTTACTGCCAGTGAACCTTTTTTTATTACTGAGTCATATCAAAAGAATTTTATAGTTATATGGATGAATTACTTGGAGTGAGTATTTTGAAGTGAGTATTTTAAAGTTATTTTGTATTTATTGATGGCTTAAGTAGTGCAATTCTTTTATATGGATGAATTAATTGGAGAGACTATTTTAAGGTTATTTTGCTCTTATTGATGACTTATGTCGTACAATCCTTTTTAAATGGGTGCCATGCTCAGAATAAATTCTTCCACAATTCACGAATTCAAAGATGAAGATCTTAAATAAAAAATCCTCCGGACAAAAAATGATTCTTCAAATCTGCACCTCTGATGAGTCATCAATCAGTGCTCAATTTTACACAAAACTGGACAAATTGGTGAGATAAATAACTCAAATTTTGGTCACATTCGAATAGTAATGCATTTCACAAGTATTTTTCAATTCTATTTTTTTATCATAGTAATTTTTGAACAGTTTCAAACGACCATTCAACTTAAATGGAATGCATCAATTGTGTCTTCCAAGCATGAAATCTCAAAGAATACATTACTCATGCAAAACAGTGCTAGCTGTGCCATACACTCTTTATAAGCTCCTCAATTGAAACTTCCATTTCCTTGCAAATATCTCTTTCATTCGACTTCGACCAAGATCAAGGAATGACTCGGTTAGATTCTCCATCCGAGAAATTTTTTGGCATCTGCTGTTTCCTTCTCGTTATAAAAGGACCTCCCCTCCACTGCTCATGACTCGATCCTCCTACTCCCTTTATCACCTTCCTCAAGTTTGTCCTAAGCTTGTGGTTGGGATCTGGCCAACATCAGAATCTGGCAAGCACATTACAAGAGAATCATGTCAGAATCAATTGACAAGGTGGTATTCACTGACCACTTCAAGGCAGCCCCGGTCCTCATCAACAGCACCTTCACTATTCTTCTGGGCAGTGAAAAGGTTGAAATTGTTCTGTGCACCAAGGTAAATGTCATCATCAAGAATCTCAAACAGCTGACATCCAATTTGCATTGAAGTCGCAAACTCGCTCCTAGATGGCACCCCTCCTCATGCTGAAGATATATCATCGAATCAAGGGTGTCAGCAGGAAAATAAATAAAAAGTGTACACATGATCACTGTTTCCAAACCCGTAAGACCAACTTTTATAACTAACTAACTACATAGACACAGAAGCTGCTACTATATTCATAAATAGATAATTCTCATACTACATACTCAAAAAATTAGTTTACTGAGAACATATAGGGGATTTGTACAACTTGTTCCCCCACCAAAACCTAAGACTCCTTATGGCCATTAATTATTAATCTACATGTCAAAGGCTTTCCTTCTAACGGAAAAGAAAACGAATCTCAAAAAATCCACATCCATGGAAGATTACTTCTATGCTCCAAAAACAGTGGCACCTTTATACACCTGTCTAGGAAAGCAGAGTTGAAAAGGCGCATATAACTGACTTCTTTCAAATTTACATTGCTGTAGAGTAGTTTCTGTTTTTTGGAAAGTAAAGGTTAATTCCATATATATAGAAAAGTACACTTAGCCCGAGAAAGGCTAAGAGAACATTTACATAAGCCTTGTACAATAGGCCCAACCCAAGTTATAACATACACAGCCCCAAGGAGCCCAAAACAGATACAAACGTGACCAAGTCTTCAGTCACAATTCCGGTGAGCAGCGGTTAGCAGCAAGTGGAATCTCCACCATTCACGGTGTCTAATCCGGCGGTCTTGGAGGAGGACGCAAGATAGACCAAGGTATGTCCCATTCATTCAAGATGCTTCTATTGGCCGGAGAGTCCATGGGAGGATTAGCCATCAACTTTAATCGGACTGAGTCAATGACTTTGGAGAGGAGTGAGTTTGAAGAAATTCTTTTTCTTTGGAAGATTCGCCTGTTGCGTTCGGTCCAGATGTCGTATACAAGTGCCGCGAAAGCCAATCTAGTGATGGAAGTACTGCAATTCGAAGCTTTCTTCTTCCAATGCTGCGATGCCCAAGCAACCAGCTCATTCCAACAAGAGGGGAGGATATGGAATCCACAACGTGTTTGGATGAATGTCCAAACGGGAGAGTGGTATGAACACTGAAAAAAGAGGTGAGTGTGTGACTCTGGCATGGAATTACACGAGGGGCAGAGGTTTGGGGAGTTCAGATATGATGTGCAGTCACAATCCTTGGTAAACAATCTTGATTGGACTGCCAGCCAAAGGATGAAGGAATGTTTGGGCACCATTGGCTTGGACCAAGCAAGTTTTGTCCATGGTAGAGAAGGTATGTGCCTAGAAAGATATTAGAGGGTATGAGTAATGGAAAACTTGCCATTTGGTGATGGAATCCATAACACTCTGTCAGGTAAGGCAGTGTTGGGGGTAGGGAGAATATTGTGCAGTGTGAGTTGTGGTATAAGTGTGGTAATAGAACTTGGAAAGGACCATGATGAGCGGTAGTCTGTGATAAAATTACTTACAGTGGTTTTAACATCAAAGAGTGATGGTATGGGTTGCTGGTTAGGAATTTTAAGGTGTAAGGGGCCAAGGCTAGACCAGTTGTCATACTAGAAATTGGTGGTAGGTTTGAGTTGCAGAAGTTTTCTCCAGGTCCAAGAACATTGATTAGGAATATCCACCTCCCAAATGCTCCTACCTTTAAGGAGGTATGTATTGACCCATGCAAACCATAGCAAACCCTCCTTAGCTTGTATAATGTTCCATAGGTGCTTCAAAATGGCTGTTCTATTCGAAGAGTGTAGAGATGGAATTCCAAGACCACCAGGCCTTATAGGGAGACAAATGTAGGGCCAAACAACCTTTGCCCCATGCTTTTTAAGCTCTGGACTTGACCAAAGGAATGCCCTAAAGATACATGTGAGCTCATTAATGATTGACATTGGAAGAAAGAATTTGGAGCTCCAATAGATATGTGTGCTATGAAGGATGGATTTGATGTGCTGCAATCTTCCTGCAAAGGAAAGAAACTTGCTTGTCCAGTGACTGATTTTTGCTGTGATCTTGTCAGTGAGGGCTTTGCAATCCTGTGCTTTCAATATGGTGGATATAAGAGGTACACCAAGGTATCTAATTGGTAGGCAGCCTTTCTCAAACCCCACAAGCTCAAGGATTTCTGCCTTAACAATTGGTGAAACCCTAGAGAGGAAGATGCTACTCTTGCTGTGATTAACATGTAGACCAGAAATGTGAGCAAAAATATCTGTTGCCATGAGTAGTGAATGGACTGAAGGAGTGCTGCCATGACACAAAAGCATCACATCATCGGCAAAGATAAGATGAGTGAGGCTAAGTTCTTTACACCTCCAATGAAACTTGAATGGATTTGAGGCTATGGTTGAGTCAACAATGGAGGAGAAGACCTGCATTGCAATGACAAAAAGGAAAAGGGGGAGTGGATCACCCTGCTTGAGCCCCTTTGCTCCTTTGAAGAAGCCATGAAACTCACAATTGATTGAAACTGTGAAAGAAGTTGTGGTAATGCAGGACTAAACCCACATAATGAATAAGTCAGGAACCCTATCAACTTCAGAGTATCCAGAATGAAAGGCCATGACATGGAGTCAAATGCTTTCCTCAAGTCAATTTTTAAAGTACATCCAGGGGAGCTTGAGAACCTGTGGTAACCATTAAGGAGTTCTTGAGAAAGGAGAACACTGTCATCAATACATCTACCTTGTATGAAAGCAGATTGTGATGAGCTGATGATGGTGGGCAAGAGAGGTTTGATTTTGTTAGCTATTAGCTTTGAGATGCATTTATATATGGTTGAGCAGCATGAAATAGGTCTGAAGTCATTGAGGGAGGTTGGATTAGATGATTTGGGAACCAAAGAGATAGAGGAAGTGTTAACCTCTTTTAACAATTTACCAGAGACAAAGAATTCTTTAATGCCAAGGGTTACATCATGTCCTACAATTAGCCATGCTTTCTTGAAGAAGGCTGCATTAAAGCCATCAAGACCAGGAGCTTTGTCATTGCTCAAGGAGAACATGCAATTATGGATATCATCATTGGAAGGAATGGAGAAAAGGTCAGAGATGAAGCTTGCATTGATGGTTTGGTTGATGAATTGGGATAGATGGTCAGTACTAGGATAAACATGAAAGCTAGTTCCCAATGCATTATGGAAATGGTTGTGTGCCTCTTGTTTTACGAGCAATTCAATATCAATGTGGTTGCCATTGGAATCAATGATGCTTGTGATTTTGTTCCTGTTAAATCAGGAGGACATGGATTTGTGGAAGAAAGCAGTGTTAGAATCACCAACCTTTAGCCAATGTACTCTTGATTTTTGCTTGAATGTGAGCTCCTCAGCTACCTTGAGATTTTTGTATGAAGAAATAAGCTCATTTTCTTGCATTCTGAGAGAGGAATCATTGGGTTGACTGTTAAGGGCTATTTGAAAGTTAGATAGCTTCTCCTTGGAATCCTGAACCTTCTTGGTAATGTCACTGAAATGTTTAGCTAGCTGATGTTTGAGTGGTTGCTTGAGTTTTTGAGTTTGGATATGACCTGAAACATGGTGTGACCTCTAACTGGGCTATCCCAAACAGCTTTGACAATTGGCAGAAAGCTATCATGAAAGCTCCAACAGTTGAAGAATCTGAATGGAACTTTCCTTTTGGGAAAGGGAGTACCTAGGTTTATAACCATAGGACTATGATCAGAGATTCCATAGGGATAGAAATGGCAAGTAGACAATGGGAAGGTGGAATTCCAGGCATCATTAATTAAAACTGTGTCAAGTTTCCTAGATGTGTTGGCCACACCAATGTTCTTATTGGTCCAAGAGAAGAAGATGCCTGTGTAGTTGAGGTCTTCAAGTTTGGCATCATAGAGACACTTCCTGAAATCCTGCATAGCCTGAGTGACTCTACTAGATCCCCCAAAGTTTTCATGTGGGGAGAGGATGATGTTAAAACCTCCAGCTAGCATCCAAGGCAGTGAGGTGAGATTGGTAGATAGTCTTGCAATGCAACTCCACAAACATTTCCTTTCATCAGCTGAATTGGCTTCATACACAAAAGAGATGAAAAAGGATGTTTTAGAGCTCAAAATGGTAGCATGGCAGTGGATCAACTGCCTTGTTGTATGTAGGATTTTGAGCTCAATGGAATTATGGTTCCAGAGTA